ATATTAATTTTTATTATATAAAAATAAAATCATTAAATAATATGTATATCAAATCAAATTATCATTTTATATATGCTTTAAAGGTAAAATCGTCAATATATATATATATATATATATTTATTCTTTTATTTTTAAAAATTTAAATATAATATTTTTTATTAAATTCAAAATCTTAAAATTAATAAATTAATCATAATAGTAGATAAATTATTATATTTTTATTATTATATTATTTTTAATGGAAAAGTAAAAGATATGTGACTCTTTAATTTATTTTCAAAACTAAAGTCAGCCCAACATAAACAACAATAATATTAAAAAAAATACACAACACGCAGAACCCTGGTCGCTGCACCGTCTTCCACGAGATCCCACCGCTGCAACACAACGCTGCCACGTGCCCACCCGGCGACGATGCAACGCCGGTGACGCTTAAGGCGGCCGCGGTAGCCGCTATTTTAGAAAATCCCATTGTTTTGGTTTGAGGTTGGTGTTCGTGCTCACTGATATGTTTCTGCACACTCCTTCCTCTATCTCTCCCTGTGTTTGTTTCCACATCTATTTCAGAATGTGCAACTGAAGGTCATGGAATTTTCTTGTATATATATATATATAGAGAATAGAGTGCATACATTTGGCGGGTACCCTTGTAACTGTCGTAACGGTTTAAACTTCCTAAATCTACTCTGAAAACTCTTCACTTTTTCCCTCAATATTCATCTCTTCTCATTCCTTTCCACACCCCAATAATACCACAATTTTTTACAATCAAAGCCTTAGGGGTGTATTGAATTAGGATTTTAAAGCTTAAGCTAGCTAATGTCGTGGTAGGCCTAAAACCTAGTTTTTATATCCTGACATAGTACTATACTTCCTTGTTTAAGTGGCAAAGTCTGAGAAATCGTGAAGTTGTGGATTGATATCCAAATTTGCTGTTTTAGTCAACACATCATATGCACAACACAGTAATTATATGTATCATCACACATTTCAACTAAGAGATCTCATATAACACAAGTGAGCAATTTAAGTAGCTTGACCTTACAGAACTAACAATCCAATCTTTTCAATCTAGGTAGATCAACAACCAATTGGGATACTAATCCCTAACAACATGATTGCTCGGATGGCAAAATAACTTGGATGTTAAATTACTACCACAACATTAGTTAGCATAATTAAGTTACCTACGAGATTAATCTCTAACTATCCTTCAAATACTACGCGCTTCTAATACTCAATTAGTGGTTTTAACCCATGACTTTGTACTTTACTCTAATTTGATCACTTTATACACGTGTGTCTTGACCTTACCTACATATGGAGCAACTGTGGTTGCTTATAGACTGTATGTCATGACGTCTTGACCCACATACCACATTAACTAAGGTCTTAGAAGAAACTTAACTATCTACTTCAAGGATCAACTTCTTAAAAAGGGTTTTCCAACAAACTAGGTTCTTAGAGCACCACAAGTCCACAACACAATATCCTCACTATGGGACATGCAACTTTAAAAACAATTTTTCCTCTAGTCTTATCCTAGATTATCCTATATCAATCAACATCATACATCAATATACAACATATAACATAACTCAATCATCATACAACTTGTAATAGATCTAACTATCCTATACATGTTCACAAATTTCATCATAAAACAAGTTGAATTAAGGCAACCTACACCCGACGTTATCCACTCTACACCTGGTGCCATTGAAGTAGCGAACCCTCTGCCTTGCCCATATCCAACGTCATACAACTCATGTTCAATGTGTAGGGATGACAAGTAAACCCATACTTATGGGTAATACTCAAGTTCATTCTGACTTTGACGGAGAATATCCATTTTGATCGGATACGAATAATATATAATTTATTAAACCATGTACAAAGAGGGGGATGAGTATATTCTTACCTACTTTAAATTTTTAGAAACTTAATTTATTTTAAAAAAAATTACTTAACATTTATATAATTCTTACTCTATTTTAAATTTATGTCAAATGAATCCCCGTCCCCATCGGGTATCGGGTATACCCGTACCCGTTCTCGTCAATTTTTTTATTTTTTATTTTTTGTAAAAAAAATTTATTTTTAAATTATTTTTTTATTATATTATAATTATAATTAGGTTATTTATTTATTTCATATTTTAATAAATAATCACACATAAAAAAATATTAATTTTTTTTAATATAATTAAATTAAAAGTGAGTATTAAATTAAAAATAAGAACGAGGACGGATACAGGTACGGGTACGGGTAGGGTGCGGGTAAGTACATACTCGTACCCGTACCCGTACCCAATTTAATATATCAGGTTTTACCCGTACCCGTACTCGGTCAAATCAGGTATTCCCCATCAAAGTCGGGACGGGTTCGGGTATTACTCGCGGGTACGGGTATATTTGTCATCCCTACTGCCTGGGGTGGCGCTGAGCGCAGAATGAGCGTGCTGGGCGTGAGACCTGGATGAGGTCTTTGCCTTACTTGCGCCGAGCGCAAGTTTGGTACGTCGGGCTTGGGAGACTCCTGGGAGTCTCTGCCTTCTATAGCACCGGGCGGAATTGGAATTGCACCGGGCGTGTAAGAGCTTTAGAGCTCTCTGGTTGGGTTCAAGCAGGGTGCAGATCCTATTGCGCTGGGCGTGGAGGTGTCTTTCTCTATAACTATGAAAATGCTAATTAATGATGATTAAGTTGAGTTGTGTTGTATGATGTTTATGCTGATTAATGATGTCAAGATGGGTTGTGTTGTATGTTGAATATGTTGTTTAAGATAGCTGAGCTGAGCTGTGTTGTTAAATGATGAACTGTCGATCACTAGGACTAGAGGGGATGTTTTCGAAGTTGCTCATCCTATTGTGTGGATTGAGGAAGCTGTGGTGCTCTTAGGGCCCAATTTGTTGAAAACCCTCCTTGGAAAGTTGTCCCTTGGAGTGGTCATTGTGCTGTTCTCCTCTAGTACTTAGTTGGTCTCGTGTGTGGGCAAGGTCGAGGCACACATGTACAAAGCGACCACGGTATAGGGGACAGGTCAAGCTATATCGATTACAAGTGACCAATCGAGTAAAGTACGAAGTCGGGAACTTAGTTCCTAACTGAGTATCGGAAGGTTGTGGTATTTGGAGGATAGTCGGTAGGCTAATTCCATAGGTGGCTTAGTTAAGCTAGCTAATGTCGTGGTAGGCCTAAAACCTAGTTTTTATATCCTGACATAGTACTATACTTCCTTGTTTAAGTGGCCAAGTCTGAGAAATCGTGAAGTTGTGGATTGATATCCAAATTTGCTGTTTACCTAGCAAACCCAAAAAGGTTATTTGCTATCGAAAATCCTATGAAATCCTAAACCAATACACCCCCCTTAAACATTGTCAATGTAAGTGCATACCCTTTATTTATTTTTATGTTACCTCTACTGTGGAATTTATTTATAATTACAAAATAATAATTTTAATGTTTTAAATCATTGACGGGTACATTTAACGGTTTATACATTGGGTACTTTCAGTTAAATAATTTCAAAATTATAAAAATGCTCGGAGGAAGGAGAAGACGAGAAATCCCAAAACGCTCTGTTTGGAAGACAAAGAAGACGAGAGGTTAGCTATACTTGCATTTGCATCATCTCACCCTCACTTCAACTTCACCAACCCTCGCTTAGGCACCAAAAGATTTTCAGATAATTAGTTTGCTACATATCAATAGAATTACTAATCTTTTCAGCTATGTTTCCATGTTCCTCATTTACAAAGTTGGCCTCTAGAATAAACTTCCATAACCCAATTTCAAAATTCTGCTAAGAGGACTAACCAAAATATATGAGAATTTTATATTGTAAAGCTTCCTAGGATAATAACCAGAATAAATAAACTGTAGAATTGTGGGGTAGTTGCCCCATTAACTTTCCAACTTTTTTTTACCGGTATGCATATATCTTTCTATATTTTAATATTGCTTCAACTTGGTGTACCAAATAAATATTGCCCTCGATTTTTTTTATTTATTGTTTAAAGCATAGTATTTAAATATTATGAAAAGATAGTTCGTTAACTCTCGTTTACCCATAATAACTCAATTTTTATAAAATTTATTATCCATATTAAAGACAATTCATGTCTCTATTAAAAATAAAAATAAAAATAAAAATAAAAATTAATATAATAAAAGTATATTGATCTAATTAATATTATGATTAATTTATTAATTTCAAGTTTTTAAATTTGATTAAAAAATATTTTTTTAATTTTTTAAAATAAAAAAATATAATGGTCAAAAAAAGTGGAGACCTCTTTATAATATTATTATATATTAGTATATATTAGTATAGATGTAATACTATACTAATACTATACTAATCTATAAAGGGGATACATTTTTCAGTAACTACCTTGGTCTCCATTTTTTTGGACCATTATATTCTTTTATTTTAAAATTTTTTAAAAATATTTTTTAATTTATACTAATCTATACTAATATATAAAGGAGATACCTTTTTCAGTAACCATCTTGGTCTACATTTTTTTAGACTATTATACCCTTTTATTTTTAAAAAATTTTAAAAAAAATTTAATCAAATTTAAGAACTTGAAACCAATAGATTAATTATAATACCAATTAGATCAATATATTTTTATTATTTTATTTTTAATAAAGGCACGAAGTGCCTTAACTTCACTAAATCTTAAATTACTTTTTCTTTTTCCACCATTATTTATTTAGCTTTTCATTATTTCACTTTTCAAAATCACTTAAAACTACTCTTACAACTATAATTACAACTATTTAAAAATTATTCATATCTTTAACAAATTACTTTCATTTTATTTTTTACATAGTTAATGATTCACTTTTATTTTACATTTGAAATATAAACTGAGTGTTTTTTTTTCCGTTAGTTATTAAATAATAAAAATAAATAATAATAATCTATAATAATATTCAATGCTGCACTGCAAATTTTATTTTCTATTTAATTAAAACGCTCCAAAGATACAAACAGGGGATGCAGTGAGTCACAGTCAGAGACACAATTTCCATCCAACAACCTCTTCCCTAACGCCGTCATAACGTTTCGTCTTTCCTTCCGCCAACTCTGAAACGGACGCCAACTTCATATTGCGCCTTCTCTTCTTAAATTTCAGATTCAATTCTGTCTTTTCTTATTTGATTAGGGCTATTTTATTTTCATTATTATAGTTTTGAATTGTTCGATGATCTTAAGATAATGCTGAGGGTTCTTGATACTTCTATTACAAATCTCTGTCTCAGTTTAATTTTTTCTTGATACAGATTGTTGGACTTGCACCTCCTCGATTTCTTTCAATCCCTTGGGCTCAAGATAATGATAGTACAAGGAAGTTTTATAATTGTGAGGTTAGTATCTTTTCTGACTAAATTAAGATTTGACCCATAAACTTTGTTATAAAATTTTTGAAATGTTTCCCCTGTTTCAAAGCAGCAACTTATTGTACTTACTCATTTTTAAATCTTGAGTGTTACAAATCCTCTAAGGTAGGTTGGTGGTGCTGTTGAAACATAATATTTATTTGTATATATAATTATTTTATATTATATATTTTTTTATGTAAGTAATCTCATCCGAAATTCTCATAGGGGTTAGTAAATGAGACATGTACTATTCTTTACCTTAATTTAAACTTTATTAAAAAATAAAAATTATATAAAAAAAAAAAAAAAAAAAGCAATAACAACGACCAGCATCCTATAACGAAACTGGGCGCACGAAGAAGACCCACTCCGCACTAACCAAACCCGCCGCCGCTGCTAAGCCTCGCCACCGTCACACAAACCCTCCGCTGCTCCGTTGGTGTTGGCGCAACCGCAAACACCTCCGCTGCTCCGCTCTTCGCTGTCCATTAGAACACGTCTTAGAAAGTTCTTATTTTGCTGATTTCCTTATAATATTTATATATTAGTATTTATATATTAGTATAGATCTCTTTATATATTAGTATATATTAGTATAGATGTAATACTATAAAATAAAAACTGTAACTTGTAATGCATATAAAAAGAAAACCCTCTAATTTGTTGCACATTTCACTTTCCCTCTCAATTTTTCTACTTTTCACAATTCTATCTTAATACTCCTCCATTTCTAATATTTTAAGAAAGTGTAAAAGAGGAACAAACTACTTCTTTCATCTTTATTCTTTCGATCTTCAGCAGTTTAGCTATATATTTAAAGTGATTTTATTATTATTTTTTTAGGTTAGTATATTTAAAGTTTTAATTTTTATATTATTTATTTTATTTTGATTGTCAAATAAAAAATGTGTTTTTATTTTTATTTATCCATTCTTTTGTATGTTTAGGAGAAATATTATATGTGAAGATTATTATATTAATTATAATTATATTGATTTCAGTCGATATTATTAATAATTGAATCAGTTGAAAGAATTTTTTTTGCTACAAATATTATCAAGAATCGAGTATGTGAAATTATGACAAATTAATGGTTAAATGATAGTTTAATTATTTATATATAAAAATATTTTTAATAGTGTTGAAAATAAAAAAGAATGATGTAAAACATAGTATTAAAAAAAATCATCCAATACTTTGAAAATATAAAAACTCATAAAGAAGAATTATGATCTATATTTATATTTATAAAAATGTTATATTATATTTGAAATGTTTTAAATTTATGTATATAAATATTGTTTTCATGATTACATAAAATTTCTGAATTCATCATTGTATTTATATCGAGTTCATCTATTCTATATTTTTTTTGATATTATTGTATCCTTGTTTTCATTTCGTGTGGAGGTATTATGTCTAAATCCGTGCTGCTGCATAGTGAAAGAAGGAAACGAAGACTCAATAGACACGTAAATCAATGGTGTCCGTGGCGATAAAATATTGGATTTCTTTGTAAATGAACTACTAAATGCACCCTTAAAGATTTGGGGTCAACTCGGAAGCCTGCTGAAACCAACCCATAAATAATGGATGGGTTTGGATTTTCTCCTTCCGTCCTTGTGCGGAATGGGCCAGGCCTTTTCACTCGGCAGTTTCTGTTTTCAAAAAATTGTAATATTACGCATAGCAGTTACGAGGTTAAGTTCTCTCTTATGTAAACATTGCTAAATTTTCCTTTTTGAATCAATGCTCGCCAATAGCACCCTTCTCTTTCACATTTTCCTTTCTTCTATCATTCTTTGCTTACTTAACTTATCTTTATCCTCTCCATTCGCATACAGGTATTTTTTGTATCCTCTTTAACATCAGTGTCCTCTTTTCTTTTTTTAAATCCAAGAGGAACAACATTAACTTCGTTTAGTTTCAAAGTTATAGTGGACCAAGTTAGAGTTAAAGTAGAAGCAGAAGTGCAAAAGTATGTAAAATTTACCACCAAAAATAACTGTGTCCACAATTTTCTTAACACCAATTGATTTGCATTCACCCATACAGCGTTGCAAGAAGGAAGGCACCAGAACAATTAACAAAACCCAGATGATTCTATGCACCATTCTCTTTTAATGTGATCTCTATGTTATACTTATAACTCCAAACACATGTAGGTGTTTCCACTTTTGGTATGAAATACAAAGGTATTGCAAGTTGTAACCGTGCAAATATATTGTGGCAAAGTTAGATGCTTTGGTTATAATTTCTTTAAGGAGTTAAACTTTTTCTCCATTTTTTTTGTGTTCTCAAAAGGCCAGGGATCCGAATGATCCTGTAGGTAATTTGACAAAATATGGGAAATACAAAATGATATAAAATGAAACAAAAGGAAGGAAGAATCCCTTAAAGTAGTATTCCATTTTTGTAGAATTTTCCTTAAGTTTTAGAAAGAAATAAGAATACTGAATGCATTGCATTGAAATATACATCTTCTCTTTCTCTTATTTCTCCAAAGTTAAAGGAAAGGGGTTAGTAATACTTGTTCCTTGATATCTCTACAGCTCTGTGATTCTTGAAAATGGGCAACGTCCTTGAATCGTTTGCTTCTGGCTTAGGAAATGCTGTTGGCAAACTATTCAATTCTCCAATTGAGTTTCTTTCTGGAAAGTCTTGCAGGTAAGAGCATGCAGGGTTATCAATACTCTCATTACCATTGATATATGTATTTCTCAACTTTCCACTTCATGCTTGATATATGAATGTCTGTTTCAGCTCAGCATGTGGACCGACATGGGATCTCATGTGCTACATAGAACATTTTTGTGTTGCCAATCTTCTCAAGCTAGCAATGGTATTTATGCTATTGTACATTGGTGAGTTCAACTCTTTTGGTAGATGGCAACATGGTCTTATTTAGTGCTTTACTTGAACATACTCAACTTAGTCATATTTAATTTGGCACATATGAAATGGGTTACGTATGTTTTGTTTCCTTGCAGTTCTGTTATTCTTATATCTGGTGCACAAATTGGGCATATGTGGATGTCTTTGCCGGTCTTCTTGCAAAATGATTTGGGCATGTTTCTCTTCTTGTTTCCATGTTTGGGAGTATTCTTGCACTTTCTTGTGTGTTAAGCTACACCAGTTGAGGAGAAGAAGAAGAAGATTCAAAAGGGGCATGAATCAAAAGTTCTACTTAAAAAGTGGAGAAGATTACACAGATGAAAGTCTTTCATACCATTATTTTCCAACATCTATAAGACCAAGCAGGTCAATTTCGCGTAGAAGAGACTATAAAGGCTCTCACTTAAAAAGGTCTTTGCAGCCTAGACAACATCTTGCTCGAGTTGAAATTAGTAGAGATCTTAGATATAAAAATAAAAGGAATCATATTAGTGGAGATTCCAATTCCACAAGCACAGTCCATGACATCAAGGTAATCCGTACATCTAAGTTTGCAAGAAAAGGTATAAATAAAAGGAAAAGAGTTCTTCCAAGGCATAGAAGGTAGAATATTTTAGTCCTGGGTATATACACAAACCACTTTGTATTAATTCATGTTTCTGATTTGTAAGATGAAAAAGAAAAACATATTTTTGTTTTCCTTCTCAAGTTCTTATTCTTTCATAACGGGGAAAAAGGCATGTAGTAGTAAAGAAAATGACTTTGACTGCTAGCTGCACATCCAAAACACTTCTTATTGAAGTTTTCTTTTATCTACAAAGCACTTTTATTTCTTTGATCTTGATTTCCGTATCAAGAAATTGACAAATACTAATAATGTAATACATACATGTTTTGCTAAAGGATAGCTTTTATTTCTTGAAGTGATAAAGGTTAATTAAGAAGTGATAATGTTAAAGGATAGCTTCTTCTGTGAAACAAGGTATATTGCAACTTAAGGAGAATGTTTTGCTATTGCTTTGCATAAAGGTTACCTTATCTAAAAAGAAAGTCCGAAGTTTATGATCGTTATAGGCAATGCCACAGTGGGATACCTTGGAATAGACAAGAATCTTGAATGTCAGGAATCCATGACAAAGGGTTACCAGGCCATTACTTTACATTGAAGTTTGTTCATCCCCCAAAGTAATCTAAAAAACTATGGTTCTATATTTCATCAGTTCAAATACCCCAATTGCATTGTTTTGTTCTCAATCCACCAACTTCATTGGAAAACTCCTTTGTCCTTCAATGGAAGGTGAGGAGGGGAAACAGCCTTCCCAAAAAAATCCTTACGTTGAACTCGAGGAGGTTGACTTTGATTATATTCTAGCACTGAGCATGCAAGAACATGAGAAAGAGTTCACAATGCTTACAACCATTGAAAGTGCAAGTGATGAATATGCAAGTGACTCCTCTTCTGATAATGATGATGATGATCCTAACTTTTTAGAGAGCCTAGAACTTCAGTATCTTGAAGGTGAAGGAACCAATGATGATGATGATGATGATGATGAAATGGAAATGGAAGAAGATGAGATTGATCCAGACGAATTATCCTATGAAGAGTTGATGGAGTTGGGAGAGTTTGTAGGAGAAGAAACAAGAGGGTTATCAGCAAATGAAATCTCTTTGTGCTTGCACCCGTACACTTGTCAATGTGTTGAAAGCAAAAATGGCGTCGATCGTTGTGTGATTTGTCAAGTTGAATATGAAGAAGGTGAACCATTGGTGGCACTTCAATGTGAACACCCTTATCATGCAGATTGCATAAGCAAGTGGCTCCAGATTAAGAAGGTTTGTCCAATTTGTAGCAATGAAGTTTCAACTCCCAACATGGTTTCGAACCCATAGGTATTTAATTTGGATTGTAAAATTAAATATGCACATACAAATTAATGTAATCTGGATTTGCATGAAACTGTAGTTGAAAAATAAACAAAGCTAGGAAGTTTTAATTAGATCATTGCAAAGAATATCACAAAATTGTATTCCTTTGTTACCAATTCCTCTGGCTTATAGCTTTCGTCCCTGGATAGAACTTCCTATAAAATTAATCTGGCAATTCTGGAAAGCATATTATTATAGCTTGGTAGAGTAGAAATGTTTTCAATTGTAAATCCATTTAAAGAGTTTCCCCTAAAATGAAACGAAAGTATTAGTGCATACATATATTGGAACTACTTATTTGCGATTTTTTCCCCCTAAATTTCCTCGACAAGGGTCATTATTTTTTATATAAATATTCAATTTGGTTAAAAAAATAATCATTCACCTCAATTTAGTCTTTTAAAAGAAATCATCATCAAATAATCCATCAATATCACTAATGTTAAACATTTTATTCCTTCATTGATTTGAAATTTGAATTAAGATTTCCAGAGACAAATTTTGGTTCATAATTTTGTCAAGAACTAAATTAGTATAATTTTTGTGCGGGGGGGAAGTAACTGAAGAATTAAAGTTCTCATATGAATAATCTTTAGAGACTATTTGGTAACTTTCGTTTTTCAAAGATTAAATTGGAGTATTTTTATTCAGAGACCAACAGATTAAGTGTTCACTCTTATTTTTTCTAACATAAATAACTCTTATTTTGTGTGGAGTTTCCATGTGATTCATTGCACCAATTCAGGATTTTTAAAAAATAAAATAAAGAAAAGCACCGATGCTCCTTTAAGTTCAATGAAATATGAATTCGTTGTTGACAAGTAGTAAAAATGACAACTCAAAGAGATCGTAATCTGTTATTTTTCTGGATCAAGCGATCTCAAAGATTTGAAGCAGTGTCTCAATCTACAGTCAGAGTACTATCATCACTAGAATCCAAAAAAAATTGTTAAAAAAATATTGGTTTTCCATTATTATGCAACATGCATGTTCGACGGAACATGTCATGAAGAAGGAAAAGGGTTCTCTCTGTTCTTTTGGCGTCTGTCGGGCTGCAACTAGCAAAAGGCCACATATCATCACACCATGTTATCCACTCAACAATAATCAGCTTCCAATGTGAAAATGAAAAGAGATAATAATAAGATAATATTGAAAATTCTAAGCACAAGAAAGAATGAAAGAAACAGACAAAAACATAAAATAAGGTTACCCCTCAAATAATATAGTTGAAAAATGAAAAAGAAATAATAACCGCTAAAGTCGCTTCAAAGGTTACCTTAATAGGCAAATTGTAATAAACAACCAACTAACAAAGTTATCCAAGCGTGGAATAAGTGCAAGTAGTAATTACTCTGTAACAAATTGTCAATTTCTAATCACAAACGACAAAAACATAGTATTTAATATGTTAACTAGAAAACTTAAGGCGTAAGCATTGAGCATGCATGTATCATAATAGACGACTGAAATTTATAGAATAATAATTAAAAATAACCCTGTCGCTGTTAGTAATTAAACAAAAGTTTAAATTTTAGTGTTTTTTTCTGAATTTGAATTGTTCACACCATACATAGTGAGTTATTTTTGTTCGTGTATTACATGTAGGTTGGATCTAACTCATGCGATAGTGACAAATAAAACGAGTGTGGAATGGAGTGAGAAATTGAGGCTTTTTGTGACGGCTAGCATAAAATTTAGTGTGTTGTGTTTATGAAGATAATAGTAGTGGCGGCAAATAAAAGTCCAAAATTTGCCGACCCTAGCTCTTTTTCAAGTGTCAAAAAGTTTCTCATTAAATATGGAAGAAAAAGAGAAAGAAAACGTGTACAATTCATGTAGACGATACCTGTTACTGTTTTACAACTGTATCACTCTCATCAGGCCCGACCTTAGTCCTATTTCACCGTGGGCTTTTGTTGAAGAACATAAAATGTTATTTCATTCAACATTCTAGCATAGCACACTTGATTCAACCTAAGTATGTTGCATTTTCTTGCTTCCAATATATAATGTTAAGTGTGTGTTTAAATGAAATCACTAATTTTGATTCTTCTAACATAAAATTACTTATTTTGATCCTTATAAACTGAGTTAATTTTCATTTTTCTAAAATTGAAAATTCTCTACTTTTTGGTTTCAAATATTTATGTTAAAATAGATGGATAAAATTTAATTTGAGAACCTAGACTCTTTTTTTTAAAGATATCACATGTTGATATTCTTTAATTGGTGAATGTTACTTGAGATGTTCACTTAATTTTCTAAACGATTAAAGAGTATTACATAATAGTAAGGAAAAAAAATAATGATTAACCTTTAAAGGAATGAAACTAATTCTTTTATAACAACTAAAAGAAAAATTTGTTCATAAGTATTAAATACAATTTAAAAATACAATATTAAACATGTAAACAACAAGAAAGTTGTAATTAATATTTTCTTTTAGACATGTAAAATTACTCCAAATGTGTGATAAGTTAATCACGTGTCATTGGTCTAAGTGATACATAGTCCAATTCTTTTATGTAAAATCTTGAATTCGTTTTTTATGTAAAAAAAAATGATTTAGAGAAATCATCCTCATTAAAATTGAGTTGACAAATTAAAAGTGACAAAATTTGATTCAACTTATATATATTGTTTAACAAATCTTTTTCAACGATTTTATAATTTTTAATAAATTTTAATTAATATATTTTAGATACGTTACTACATTTTTATGATTTAATAAGGATCTAATGGTGATGCGTGATGAATATAAAAGTTTTATATTATCACTTGTACTGTGGTGGTTTCTCATTGGCCGACCCGAGGCACATCGGCAAAATACTGAGCTCACTGGCCAAGATGTCTCTTGGATAAATGAGAAGTATTGTATATCGACAAGGCTCAAAATTATACGTATAGAGACCTAAATGTGGGGAGATTCGCTTGCTCACTCAGACAATCAATAAGATCTAACGATCCTGGGAACGGTAATAAATACCGGGAATTACGAGTCCATAAGAGGGTGTGATTTATGTATCATAAAGAGGGGTGTGCGATTCATGTCTGTAACGCCACACCATTATATATAGCAATGATTAGATCTAAGAGAAAGGTTACTCTCATCGAATGTTCTAGGTCAAGACTGCTGTCGAGTTCTTTTAGCTCGGGATCGCTAAGGATTCTTCGACGGAAGTCTCCAACACCGGAACATCACTCGATAAAAATTACTATTTATATAATTTTTAAAATAATTATTATATTTATCCACATCAATAACTTATAACAAATGATAATTATGATTAAATAATTTTATAAAATAATTTTATAATTTGAGAACAGAATCCTTTTCTCATTTAATAATGTTATATATAACGAAGCCAATTACAATGTTTATTTAAAAACTCTTAATCATCTATTTATTGTTAGTGTAAAGTTTTTTTACATCGACAACTAATTATATCTTTTAATTATGCTATATTGCTATAAATACATTTATTCTTAACAATGATATAACATAACTAAAAGATATAATTAGTTACTAGTATAAATTTTTTTTTACACCAACAGTATATAAGTGATTAACTCTTAAAATATTCTCCACTAATATGGAGGCGAAGGTGAAAAAGCATGCAAATGTAGTTGCTATAAAAGTAAAAGAGAAAAGTTTGGCTCAGCAAAAAGTAGAAGTGAATGCCTTCAACTCCGAGTCACCTACCTTGCTAATTCTCTTCTGCCATGCATTGTTTTTCAATGTTCTTCATACTGTCCTTGTCGTCACTTTGTTCATTTGCGTTGAAATCTTGTGATTGTGATCTCGACTCATTCCTCAGATATCACGTTTTTTTAATACTAAACTATAAGAGAGTTGAATATATTAAAACAATTCCAGTTATCATTTATTATAATACTCTGCAAAACATCATCTGCATATTTAAATTTCTCAATGTTTGTTGTTGAACTCATCATTGAAGTTTTTAATTTCATTTGGATGCATTCTGATTTTATCTTGTTATGAAATAATACGTTGTTAGTTGTGACATTATTAAATGAGATAATACACCCAAAAAAGAAAATTAGATAGATTTTTTTTTCTTTAATAAAATTGATTATTCTATATAAAATACAAATTATTATTTTAGGCAAAAATATATATTTTTATGGTAAAAAAGAAGTAGTAAATTGGAAAGGCAGAATGGTAGCGAGCAAGATCTAGTGACATGCAATTATTTCATGAAAGGAGAAAAATAACATCAAGGATTGAGTAGCAGTCGCATGAAAAAAGTGAAAGTGTTCGATCCGAGTTGTTATATCAACCAAAGAATCATTAATATAATATTCAATAATTGCTAAAAGAAAATAATAATGTCGATATACCAAAATTATTCCTTCACTGAAATGATAATGCACCGGAATTAATAGCTGCAACTACTTTTTATTTTAGGCCAAAATTATCAGATGATTGTAATATTTCCACGGGTATCTGAATCATCTCTCATCCTTATCCCAATGTCTCTTTGGATTTTCATTTATCCATTTAAATATATAAATTATATTTAGATAAATACTTTAAATTATAATATAACATTATTTTAAATGATAAAAATATAATTTATTTTAGGTAACCAGCTAGACTCTTGAATAAAAATTAGTTATCAACAAAATTTATAATATTTTGTACTATTAATATAATTATCAAAAAATTAAATACTTAAATATATTTGTAATCTCTTAGATTTAAAATTAAATTTTTTAATTTCCATGACTTCAAAAAAAAAATTATTTTAGTCTTTATACTTCAATTTTATCAGAGAATATGTTAAATATTCATTATTATCAAAATTACTGTTAATCACTATTATCTCAATGAAATAAGTAATGTTAGATAAATATATGAATATTTTTTCTACATTAATTTATGTTAATGTCCTTTGTCGATTTACAACTTACAAGTTGTAAAAAAACACTAATTCTGAGTACAAGAAGAAAAAAGAAATAGATGGCAAAAAGAAAAAAAGAGTGTGTGAATGAATGTTTTGCCTTTTGCATCAACATTCAAGATTGGTAACTGATTCAATGTGTTGTTAGTTTGACCCAAAACGTCATTGCAATGTCATCTGCTTCTCCAAATGATCATAAATTCCTTCACCAAAAAGATAATAACAAAAAATCACACATTTACTTTAAATCATATTGTGGATGTTATGTATGAGTCACATGTGTGAAAGGCATCATTTGGTCTTGGAATGTTTAAATATGACCGCTACCAAAGCAGTTTAATTCATCGGAATCCATAATACAGTAAAAAGGTGTGTGTTGTCCAGAACTACATTACCATCGAAATCCAATAACAATCATTGTTGGCCCAGAAATTCCTCTTTAAATTTAAAAGAAATTAAATTAATCAAACTTTTTCTTTCAGTAATTGAGATAAAGATTCATCTAATGCTTCTAATTTTAATTCCTGTATATATGTAATTGGTTTTTAACGCCCCTGGCCAAAAAGTATAACAAATAGTACTAGCTAATACGATATTAATGGCATCATCTAAAGAATGATGCCAAATCCTTTATTGTAGTGCGATATGTTTAACAAACACAACTAGTGCATAAGATTAGAGAAATGTTTCTTTCATAATTTCTTGGATTATTCGATAAATAAAAAAAAATTAATAAAAATGATTGTTTTTTTTTTTTAAGCAGCAAAAGATATTTTCTTTATTTAATGGTACCAGAAGTACAATTCATATTACAAAAAATGTGACTTGGTTAACCGTAATATAGAAATATCATATTCCAGATTACTAGACAACCAAGATTTGTGTTGTACCCCTCAAGTCTAATAGAGACCACCAGTACATGTACATATTTCAAATCCTCTTTTAGCCCCTTCATGTTTTCCGTAACTCTCAATGTCACACATAGGCCGTTGGATTTCCTCCCTTTTATCCATGACTTCCCCCATCCATTATACAACCACCTGGGTCTGCTTGCCATTGTGTATAGCTGTATGTGAATTGTTTGTTCAATGATAGCCACCTCCAAGTATCATTTTTTATATCCTGTATACATTTTTGGATTTGTAGTCTTCGGCCGTTAAATCTGATATTGTTCCGCATCATCCACACGTTGTAGACCACAGCACTCCACAACACTTTCCACCTATCTGAAATTTTTTTAGAAGATATTGAGATGGGCATTTGCTGAAAATGGTTTGAAGGATTTGCTGGTAGTACAGTTGCTAAGTCTATCCAGTTGTAGCACGTTTTCCAGACACAGTCAGTAATTCCGCATTCAAAAAACATGTGAGATGTAGATTCCTCTGCTCGTGAACATAGACTACATAGTCTCTCCGACTCTCCTAGTTCAATATTCCTGCTCTTAAGATTCATTGTTGTAGGCAATCCTTCCCTAAGTAGTCTCCAAATCATTATAGACACCCTTGGTGGTAGGTTTAGCGACCATAGTTCTTTATATACTCCACCTTCTTCTCCACCATTCTTCCATGAACTGAGTTGATCATAAGTAGCCTTAACAGTATATTCCATGTTATTTCCTACCATCCAGATCCAATGGTCTTCACTATTTTTGTCCAACACAACTTCTTGTAATCGGCCCATCATTTCTTCCCACTGAATTTCGTCCCTTCCCAACCATCTTCTTCTCCACCTAAAGCTCCACTCCCAACCTCCCTCTAGCCAGTGTCCCATATTGTGGATAGTTGTTTGTTGTTGTCCTGAATTGATATATAATCTAGGATAGTCTTCAGCCAATGTTTGTTGACCTATCCACTTGTCTTCCCAAAATCTTGTCCTTTTCCCATTTTTCACTTTCCAATTCATACATTTATCAAACCATTGTTCACTACAGTCTCCACCACACACTCTCCTCAAGTCTCTCCACCACATTGAATAATCTTTTTTGTTATCCCCTTCTATCAATTTTACCCATCCTCCATATTTAGATTCTAAGACCCTCACCCACAGATTGCTCGTATCATGATACATGTTCCACCTCCATTTTGCTAACAACGAATCATTGAACAAGGATAAATCTTTTATTCCCAACCCACCCTGACTCTTTTTGCGGCAAATTTTATCCCAACTCACCCATGCAACTTTCCTTTGATCTTGCTCCTCCCCCCACAAGAATTTACGCTGAATACTTTCCACTTCTTTTTGTACTGTTCTTGGCATCTTGTAGAAGGAAAAGTAGAATAGAGGCAGTGAGGATAAGACTGAGTTAATGAGACAGACCCTACCAGCCATAGATAACAGTTTATTTTTCCACCTAGCCAGTCTTTTCTGCAATTTGTGTATTACATGCTTCCACATAACCTTCCTCCTAGGATTATCCCCAATAGGAAGTCCTAGATATGTAAATGGGATATCCAAAATCTTGCAATTGAGGATAGTAGCGAATCTGACCATGTTTGTGGATGAAGTTTCAATCGCTCCACATCTACTTTTAAAAAAATTTACCTTGAGTCCTGATACAAGTTCATAGCATCTAAGAATGCTTTTCACAGTAATCACGTTATTAAGTGTAGCTTCCCCAAAAAAGATTGTGTCGTCTGCAAATTGTAGGAGGCTAACATCCACCCTTTCTTTACCTACTTTGTAACCTTTGAACATTCCTTTTTGAGTTGCTTCTCTCATTAAACCAGCCAACCCCTCCGCTACAATTACAAACAGAAATGGAGCAAGTGGGAATTAGAAGTATTTAATATCATTAATTATACAAAGGGAATTAGAAGAATGTTACAAAAAAATTTAAATTATTCATATCATTAAAATAAACCGCAATTAAATCCGAAAAGAATAATTCTAAATATTTTTAACGTTTTTTTTATTACTTTATTTATTTATTATTATAAGAAGTAATGAATGATTTTATATTTTGAAAATTTAAAATATATTTACTTTTTCACTTAATATTTTCCTTATAAAGTTTTATTGAAAAAATTCGTAAAACTAAAACATTACTCATCTAAAAAAAAATTACAAGTTTTTCGCCCACAATGAAACGTTAAATTTGTCTATCATTATGGATAAATCTTCCTGAAAAGCATTTACATAAGTAACACATGACCCTGAGTTTGATTTATTTTACGTTCTCTGAGGAAAGAGTTTTAAATTCTTTAGCAACCCTAAAAGTTGGTTAATTTATGCTTTTAGTTACGTACTTTAAGAATTATATATTTTTATTTACTCCTTCTTTTTTAAAAATATTTTTATTTATTCTTTAGAAAATGTTTATTTTTTGTAACCCCTTTATCAGCCTTCCAGTTATTTTGTTAAGTGTTTACACAAATTTAAAAATATATATATAAAAAAAAAGATTAATAGAAAAATTATGTAAAAATGAAAAAAAAATGTAATAACATGTGAATTATCTCTATCAAGAAGTTACTCAAAAAAAAAAAGCAGTAGTCTTTTATTATTCTTTTTTCTGCTTCTGATTAATTATGAAAATATATTTACTTAAGCATCTCTAAAATTTGAATAAGTATTAATTTATTTTTAAACAAAGTTTTTTTTTTTTTTTTTTAAGAAATCAATTTAAACAAAGATGTTGAATATTTGATAGTAAAAATGAGTGAAATGTGATCCTGGAGTGTGGACCCTAGCAATGGCATGGGTTGAGCGAGGACGCAGACGCACCGAACACCGAAAGTGAATTAAGCGGCATCAGATGATCCACCACACACCACACACCACACACCACTCACCCTACTCTCATGCTTATCTCTCTCTCACTTTCCGCTTTCAACACTAAATTAAATTCTCTTTAAAATCACGCTAAATGTTTACATAAATGTGCTGCGTCCAATACTATCCATCCAAATAATAAACCCTTCCACTCGCCTACTTCCCAGGTAACTTCCTCTAACCCTCTCTAATCTAACCACACGTGTAATCAATTTTCTAAATTCAACCTTCAAACTTGTACCATATCCTTTTCTACCATTTAATGCTACATAAATTTATCCCTGTGAGAGCTGCAAATTAATAGTAACTGGAAACTACTAGGAAAATAGATATAATAGAATAGTACTCATCATAGGACTTTGATTCAAGTGTACTTCCTTTTTATAAAACCCTAATTAAACTAATTCATGCATAATTGTAACAACATTCCATAATTAATTGAGTAAATACTAGTATATGTATGTACCGTGAATTTTTGTGTGTCATCTAATTAGAGATTTGAGTTTTTTATTAGACATGATCATTTTGCCTTTGTAGATTTTATCGGTGTTTCTGTATTAGGATACATACTTTGTTTGTCCTTGTCGTAGCGGGTCTGGTCTTGGGTCTAGGTCTTCTCGTTCCTTTTCGAGCAGTCCGAAGTGAGGGGATGCCTGCAAAGATACTCTAACGTTCAAGTAAGTGTTCGACGTAATAAATGCGGTAGTTGAAAATTAGTTACATACCTCGTTGGAGTTCTATTTATAGTGATTCTTGTTGGGTCGTGATTAGGGATTTGACCCCGGGAAATTAGGGGACTAACCCGACATATTACGTAAATTAACTTTTCCTTAATTATCTTGGCATAAATCCATAACTTGATTGAGCACGCCGACGTGTTCGGATCAGGTAAGGGGTGATCGGTGTTCTCGGCGAGGTTGATTGGGTTGGTCAGGTCGGGTACTAGGGTATTCGGTCTAGTCGGCCACCTACGGTATACTCAGTTAAAGATATATTCTCAGGATGATGTGATGTTAATGAGATTAATGGTTATAGCAGTAGTGATTTAAGAAAGGTTTATCTTATTCATGACATATTTTATAAGAAGAAATATGTAATTACTTCATATATAACTGGAAAATTTTCATAAAATTACTTTATTTAATAATTTATATTATATATTAAATTTTAATAATTTAATTAATAAATTAAAAAAATTAATTTTTAATTTAAATTTATAAAATTTTAAAATTATATATATCAAATGATTTTTAAAATTTTAAAATTTATAAACTTATTAATATATTAAAAAATTTTAATTTAATAATTAAATTGTTAAAATTTAATATAAAATATAAATTATTAAGTAAAATAAATTTATTATATCTTTGTTTTAAAATAAGTAAATTTATCCTTATTTTATAAATTTTGACGTGATGCTTTTATTTCAACTTCATTAGGTATTGCTTGCTATATATACTAAACACATAAATTAAGTATGACTTTTACTTATCTTTGAATTGCTGTATGTTGAAAAATCTAATCAATCATATACATCATTGTAAGAATCTTGTTTTTCGCGTTTTTGCATGCTAAGAGCAACGTGGTACAAGATTTGACACTTAATTATGTGTTTTTGTAATGTTATGTTGATAGCAATTAATTAATATTAGTGGTGAGATTTTAGAGAAATATGCCCTTCGTCGTAAATTTGAATTTTATTATTTTCCTTATAATTACTACAAATTAAAAAAATATATATTCATCAAAGCATAGCCCGTCATTCATCAAAGTATGTTGATCCAATTTCTTGCATTAGCAGTCATTACAATAACCAATCTTCTCCATCTCTAATCCTAATTAACAACGACACAATCTCTTTACCGAAAACCTTTTACGAGAGTATGATTGAAAAATAATTTTAAAAAAGTGTAAAATTTTTTCAAAAGTCTTGAAATTAATTGAAGAACAGGAAGATAGAAGAGAAGCGAAAGATATAATTTAAATATGTATAAAGTATTATTATAAGTTAATATTACAGTATGTGAAAGGAATCCAAAAAGTTTTTACGACGAGGTAAAAGCAAAAACAAAAAAAAAGGATAAAAGAAGAAGAAGAATGTAGAGGAACAGGAGGCGCTAGAGATTACGCGGTGAAGTGGGGCCCATGTGGTAGAAGAAAAGGTGCAAAGCTACAAATCAGAAATCACGCGAGATGATGATCCAACGCAGGTGCACATTGGTAACCCACGTGTATGCTCCATCCACTGTTCAACTTCTGCAACAAAAGTCAAATCAACGCGCCGATTCCATGCGCTGTGGGCCCCAACCGACTCGCCCACACTTGCCTCCAAAACCAGTGTCGTAAGCAGTGACAAAATCACCTCGTGTGGGCTCGCCACACGCGCAATCCCAACTTCAAACCACGCCACGTGTCCGCTTACCTATCACCCATTTCCTTTTCTGCCACAAAATTAAAGGAATCATCATTTTTTTATAAATATTAATCGCCCATTTATCTCTCTAAATTCTACCTAACCCTCCATTATTATTAATTTAAACATTACACAAATAATGAAAAGAAATAAAAACAACGAAAGGGTTATTTTCTTTGGCTCCACGAGGCATGGGATGAGGTGAGAAATAAAGGGTATCGGGCATGTGTATTCTAGAAACTGGTGGGTAATAGTGCCACGTGTCGGTTGGTTGGCCTATAAATAAAGGTGTCTCCCTTATGTTCTAAGTTTCAAGCGCCGCCACCATAGTTGGTCTTAGTCTTGTAAATTGTGATTGATCTTAGAAAGATGGCATCAGAGCTTCAGCTTCCCCCTGGATTCAGATTCCATCCGACGGACGAGGAGCTGGTGAAGGACTATCTCTGCCGCAAATGCACGTCGCAGCCCATCGCCGTTCCCATCATCGCCGAAATCGACCTCTACAAATACGACCCTTGGGACCTACCAGGTATATATTATAATCTTCTTCAATCTTCATTTTCAGATCACTTTTATTTATGAATTTATTTTACAGGATTGGCTTCTTACGGAGAGAAGGAGTGGTACTTCTTCTCACCCCGGGACCGGAAGTACCCGAACGGTTCCAGGCCCAACCGGGCCGCTGGAACCGGGTACTGGAAGGCAACCGGGGCGGATAAGCCCATTGGTCAGCCCAAACCGGTTGGGATCAAGAAAGCCTTGGTGTTTTACGCAGGGAAAGCCCCGAAAGGAGACAAAACCAATTGGATCATGCACGAGTATCGTCTGGCCGATGTGGATCGCTCCGTTCGCCGAAAGAACAGTTTAAGGGTATACCATCCTTCACGCCTTTCTAGGATGGATGATAATGATATAATCAATAATTGTCATAATAATTCCATTTCCACGGTCCAGGGTTTTGTTTTGGTGGAAACCATGCAAAACGTATGGTTCAAATGTGTTTTATTTTATCATGTGATGTGATGATATTATGATAATGATAACAACACCGCCAAACCTTCCCTAGTTGAAGACTTGCTCGCATGTGCTGGTGGGCTTTTTTTTTTTTTTTTTTGGGCCCATAACATCAAACAATAATTGATGTGTCTAGTCTGTCTACCCAATACCCATCGCAATTATCACTTTCTATTTACGGAAATTATTCCTTCTTATCTCTCTCACCTGCGTCCATTATAATAAATAAAAATTGTGATTTTGCAGTTGGATGATTGGGTGCTATGCCGAATTTACAACAAGAAGGGGACGATCGAAAAACAAGAAGCAAAGCGCGAGGCGGTTGGCGTTAGGCAGAAAATGGAATCGTCGGAGATGGAAGAGAAGAAGCCGGTGATTGTGAGCGGCGGAGGGCGTGTAGCGGCGATGACGGACTACATGTACTTCGACCCGTCGGATTCAGTCCCGAAGCTGCACACGGAGTCGAGCTGTTCGGAGCAGGTGGTGTCGCCGGAATTCGCGAGCGAGGTGCAGAGCGAGCCCAAGTGGGTGGAGTTTGATTATAATTACGTGGATGGGCTGGGGGCCCAATTCGAGAGCAGTAATAATGAAATGTCGGATATGTTCTGGTACTGGGCCAAGCCCTAGTGAGCCGATTGGCATTGCAGGGCAGCACGAGACTGAGGCAAGGTCCATGAGTGTGCCTGTGCGTTAGACAGTGTTAGATAGAAGATGAAGATGAAGATGTAGATTTATGTGTCCCGTGCTTCATGTGTACAGCTATTGTAGAATGTAGATAGCAATTAGCAAGCTACACCTTCTTCTTATGTCGTACTTCCCTCCCACCTTCTAATTAATATTTCCTCCATTATAAATTAACTAGCTCTATTTTTCTCTTTTTAAATTCACTATCGCCATATCCTACTCTCTCTATTCACTTTGGACTATCTAAAATATATAAACCATTTTATTCAAGGGATAACTAGCTAGAATCATCTTCACTTCGTCACCTTCTTAATTTTTATTTGTTTTCATATTCAACCTGAACCTCACCATTATATTACTCATATTTTTCACCATCATCGCCCCTTGAGAAAAATTATCCTTGTATTAATTTAAGATCCACTGCCCTCACCTAATACCTACTACCACAACTACACTCTTCACCTTTATTTAATTCGGATAAACAAATTTTAACATTTAACTTACAATTACCTTTTTTTTCCTTTTACACTCAATTACCTAGCTTTTACTTACTAAAACTTATAAGGGAATAATGTTAATTATCTATAGTATGTTGATTACTTATTTAATAAAATAAAAATAAAATAAAATAATTTAAATTTTTTGATTTATACAGTATATGGATAATTAATTTCACATTTTAACAGTTAATAAAAATTACGAGTCAGATTTATCTGTTATTAAATAATAAACAACTGGTAAATATCTAATATTTATTATATACACATATATAAATACACACAAATTATAAATTATTTATTAGGAGAATAACACAATTGATTAAATTTAAATTTAATTTTTCTCATATTTTATATCTTTTTATACGAATTTATTATTAACATAATGTAAATAATATATAATCTCACTAAAAAGTTTAGTGATTGTGGAATGTGATTTGTTCAAATCTAAATTTTCATAAAAAAAAAAAAAAAGTTATGACTTATTTATTGCGTTGACAAAATTTGATTTTTTTTTGAGTTTAGGAAATTAAAAATATTAAATTTCTTTAGTAAGATCTGAATTCTGAGGCATGATTATCAATTTCCGGTGATAGTTTTTTTTGTTTATTGACTTGATGTCGAAACCTGTCCCTTCCACCTTGTTACATCAGTGTTTAATAATTTAAAATTCGTTGTTCCGTACAAATTTATTTTAATATATTTTAATTTGGAAGCCTGAGGCGTGATGAATGATGACCATTAAGAACCAAGAGTATTCATCAAGTTGAATAATCATTAAATTAATTTCTTTGATTTTTAAATGTCAATTTTTAATTAAAAACAATATATTATTTCAGTAATTACTCTTGATTTTAGTTATACGTGAAAAAAAATAACCAATGAAATGCGATTTCAATTTTTAATTAGAGGATAATATTTATAATTTTTATATACGATAGAGTTTCACAATTAATTAATTCATTTTATTCAACAATCAATTTTAATATTTTTCACTCTCTTTATATAGAATCATAATTTATATCAAAAAAATATTTAAAATTTATACTCATGCGTGAGTTTTGATACGATAAAGAATTCATTCATTGCATTAAAGTTTAAAATGAAATTATGCAATAATTTTGATTTGAAAATTAGGGGTAAATAAAAATTTTATTCTTTTTTTTTTTATGTATCTATTATTTAAAAATGAATTAAAGCATGTATTAAGTAACAAGGTAGTAATAGATTAAAATATAAAGAAACAAAATTTTAAATAGCTTAAATATGTTTTTAGCCTCTTTAATTTAAGGTAAATTTTTTTAATCTCTTAAATTTAAAATTGATTTTGTTGGTCCAATAATTTCAAAAAAAAGAAAAAAAAATTAATCCTTATATTCAAAATTTTTAAAGCAATTTGTCAAATATTGTCGTATAAAATCTACTTATTTGCGCGTGGTTTTGATACGATAAAGAATTCATTCATTGCATTAAAGTTTAAAATGAAATTCTGCAATAATTTTGATTTGAAAATTAGGGGTAAATAATTTTTTTTTTATGTATCTATTATTTAAAAATGAATTAAAATATGTATTAAGTAACAAGGTAGTAGTAGATTAAAATATAAAGAAACAAAATTTTAAATAGCTTAAATATGTTTTTAGCCTCTTTGAATTTTTTTTAGTCTCCTAAATTTAAAATTAATTTTGTTGGTTCAATAATTTCAAAAAAAAATATTTTTTTTAGTCCTTATATTCAAAAATTTTAAAGTAATTTGTCAAATATTGTCGTATTTATATTAAACTTAACTAATGTTGCATATCTATCTTAATTTGTCATTCTTTATATATACTATTAGTGACTTGAAGAACTAAAATAAGATTTTTAAAAATTATAAGGACTAGAAAATTATTTTTAAATTTGAGGGATTAAAAATAAATTTATCATAAATTTAAAGGATTAAAAATATATTTAAATTATAAATTGTATAATACATGTGATAAAATAAAATGTCTTTAGGTCGATCCACAAATTAATGATTCTTAAATTTAAATCTCAAATAATCAAGTATGAAAACTCAAACGAAATTTTTTGTCATTTATAATGATCGTGTCTTTAATCACGATAAAATATAAACTGTCTTTAATATATGAATGATCATGATTTATTGTTTTCATATGTGACACTCTCTACCCCATACACCATAATATGTGAATAAATATAATTGAATAAAAAATTCTATAAAAATTTCAAATATTCAACATAGAGAGTATCACATTTTAATAAGACAAAATCAAATGAAATCTAATACATTAAAATAAAAATCGCTCTAAAACATAACTTAAAGAAAAAACAAATCCTATCTAAATCTCAATGTTACACCCTATCAAAGAATAAACTCAACTACTAGGACTACATCTCATTGCCAACATCCTCAACCTAATGATATAAATCACTGTAAAAACCATAATAACATCAAACAAAAAAGGAAGTGAGAAACATGGCTCATAGTGCAAGAATGCCACCAGATAGTCAAACACAAACAAGCATACAACAATACATAGCATACACAGATAAATGTCATCATCGCACTTGGTTCACTCATAACAAAATAAATAATAACAAATAACATTATAAAGCATTATGCAATGGACACAAATTACATATTATCATGCATGTGGTGCAAGTAAAAACATCACACATCACACTTGTGTATTGTCGCTAGCAGTACGCGTAGAATAGCCTAATAGTATATGTTGGGTCACACCTTCAACTCACTCTCACTAAGAGGACATACTATTAGAGTCTGCTCGAGATAGCTAAATTGTGTAAGATATATTCCATGTACACAAAAGAAGAGATTAAAACTTGCAAATCAAGCTAGTTCCAAGGACTACTTCCCAAGTTTTTACACAAGGGGACTTTTCTTGATAGTGTATTCCATTTCATACACTTAAAAATACTTTTATGCATATGATGCATGTCAACAAACTCTATGCATAGTAATTCTTATGACCTCATTAATTCACATATCACATATCTTATTGTGAGGACCCCTTTTTCTTTTCCTTCCCGACTCATTCCAGCTCTCATTTTTTTTCTCATTTTCCCTTTTACTCACTCTCACTCTCTCCTTCATCTTGCTACTGACTTTCTCTCCCTGTGGTGACCTCAAATTGAAGGTGCTAATCAAGCTTAGGCAAGAGTTAGTTGCGGATTTCCTCATTTCTCCGTTCGCTTTCAAGTTCTCTTTTTCTTCAATCTCCGTGGACCCGAAGCTCGGATTTTCTTCAGTCCGAGGTAAGGGAAGCTAGTTTTTCTTAGTAGATTTTGTGGGAAATGAGTTCTTAAACTCATGATGTGGTTGATCCCTTGAAGATTGATGGCTGTATGTGATGAAAATGGTTTTTTTGGGTTTTGATGAAAAATTTGGGGTTTTTGGTGATTCTTGGTTGCATGTTGGAAACAAATTGGTTTTTATGTTGTTGGATGAGAATAGGGTGGTTTGGGTGGAATGCATGTGCTTGGATTTCTTGTTTTTGCAGGATGGTTATTCAACAATGGTGGGAGGGATTGGGTTTACTGTTGTAGGCGCTGAGCGCTTTGGGGGTAGAGAGCCCTAATATAACATATATATATATATTATATTTTTTAATTTTTAGCTTCTTAGGATTAACATAAAAAAAAATTATTCTAAAATAATTTAAAAGATAGAGAAATAAAATTAATATAGTATATTAAAATATTTTTTCTTTTTTAACATTTCTA